CTCTGCATTATTTAACTTCTGAACAAGCCATGCCACACTCAATATCTAGAAAATGTATACTGTATATCTAAATATATACAGTATATATATATTCAATACAATACATAAACCACCACTGTATCAATCATATTCTAATCAAATACATCTCAATAATGGCTTAATAATGAGTGCTTTCAAAGGTGGAACCTCAGTTCAGATCCCATAAGAACAGTGGTTCTTCCATTTGGACAATAAGGTTGACAATTATAAGTTTAATGTGACATTCTGCACTGAGCATGTTGAGCACAAAGCTGCCACAGAATCTCTCGGCATGACATTGAACCACAGTTGAACCTTCCAACGAACCTTCAGCAACACTTTAGACAAGAGCAAGTTGTGTGTGAGCTTTATGAGATTGTTATTAGCTGGATCCTGGGACCATTTGGTAGGACATTGCACATATCTAGCCCATGTCTAAAATGCATTTTAATTCCCATGCCCTAGAATGGGGAGGTAACACCCACATTAAACTTTTAGATCCATAATTAATGGGGGCAATGCACATAATTCCAGGAACTGTAATGTTAGCTCTGGTATGGCTTCTAGGTTTGTCCTATTTTCATCAATGAAACACATATACAGGTAGGGACTCCCATTTGAATCAAAACACTGTAATTGTAATTAGCAATTGGAAAATTAATACAATAGATATTTAAGATTTAAAATATAGTGAAATAAATCTAACTGAAATGAGGTAATTAGTAGAGTAACATGGAGATCTATTTTTAAGCCACTGCATTTTCTGATTTACATACATTATGTAGATTCTAACAGGGTGGGATGATGGAACATTGGTTAGCATTGTTGTCTCACAACACTGGGGCCCTGGGTTCAATTAAGCACCTGAGGTGCTATCTATGTGATGTTTTTATGTTCTTGCTGTGTTTGCTTGGATTTCCTCTGGGTGCTCTGGCTTTCTCTCAAAGTCCACAGCCATACTGGTAGGTTAATTGGCCCTATTGTGAGTAGGAACAAGTGTGACACCTGAAGAAGGCTCCACAGACGAAACATTGTGTTTCTTTTCTTCACTTTTCAGCATAGAATAAACCTTAACTTGTTCCTTTGCAGCAGCCTACGAATACTGACACAGCTACCTACTCAAACTATGTGTTGTACTGTAAGTATATCCATTTCTGTGTGTGTGTGTCTTGTTCCAGACTGGTGTAACATCCAGGGTTTATCCAGCTGACAAATTTGCAAACAAAGTGGACAGAACAGCACATAAAAAAGTTGAAAAAAACTTTAGTAGCAGAATTTTTAAAATAGATTTCCATATAATCCATGACAGGACAGACATCTAGCAAGTAGTGTTTATTTTAGCAAGTGGAGATCATGACTTACAAGTTATAGAAATATGTATTACATAATATACAGTATATATGGGTTTTAGTCAGATTGAGTGAGCTGCTTTTAAAAAAGGATTAGGTGTTTTGTGCACCCATGCTGTCTTCATACAGACAATGTACTTTCTATAATTTAATATACAAGGCCACCAAAATGACAAAACACATGTAAAAAGTGCAGAATTCAACATAATATTAGTTATTTTAAAATTATACAGGAACTTTTTTTAGAACACTACGTCCAGTTTTGGTTGCCAAATTTGAAGAAGATCATAGTTGCCCCTGAATCTGTTCAAAGCAGTACATGCTTCTTTTCATTAGAAGATTGTGGGAATCTAGTTTTCTTACCCTATTTAATGGTGCTATCAGAACGTCTTGCAAGGAATAGCTGGGTGAGTTCCTTGGACCTCAACTAAACACATCAGGGCAGAATGTTTTGCTATGGAACTCTTCTTGTGTTATAATTCAGTCTGCAAGGGAGAGATGTCTGATTTCAAACCCTGCAAGAAGAAATAGGCACTTGTATCCAAAAGATGCCAGAGTCAATAACAACTATATTCTAGGATCTTACATCATGGGATGTTCAAAGTGCTGTGGCAATCCAAAAACTCCTTCTCTTTGATAACATACAAAGCCCACAAAAAGCTCAGTACTAACGAAAAAAGCAAGGTGGGGAGGAGACATTTACATTTTATTTCCCCTTCAGGCTGCTGGTGTAAATGTCTTGGTCTGAGGTATGTTGTGCTGTTTATGGAACTGCTCCTCTATTGATTTGTAATTGTTGTGGTGTACTTCAGCTGCATAAGAAACACCACATGGTGTGTGATGGCCTATTCTAGTTGTTCAACCTCAACATCAGAGTTGGGATTGCAAAGTGGTTCTTGGAACATGAGAAGGACCCTTCCAACTGTTTACCACCATGATCCCTGGATCTCAGCTCCATTTAGCATACATGTAAGCAGTTCATTGCTACTTGTAACTCTTTATCTGTATAGAGGTATACTGCTGCTGGATGTGTGATGCTATATCTCCACAGACATCCACATGGACATCTAGCAAAATCAATGGCATTATATATTTCTCCTGTATTTCTCACTGGAGAAACATCCAACCAGTATTGGAGATATGCTGTAATTTATGATATGGCAGTCTCCATATGGCAGTAATCCCTTGCTGAAAATGAAAAAAAAAAAGCAAAAGTGCAAGGCAGCTGAAAAAGGTGATATATACGCACAACATTTTGTTCCCACAGCCTGACAATAACCTCTACTTGTTCATTCACTACTTGTGCAGTGTAATTGAGCTCCACACTCTGTATCCATACTACACGTACGTCAGCTTGGGTGTATCCATATGTTGCGTACATTTTCTGCATTCTGCCAAGTAAAATCCCCATGGAAAAGAAATGGCAACAAGCCAAAGGTATGCTTAAGAGTTAAAATGAAAACAGATCACACAGCCACACTCTCAGCACTCAGGAAATGCAGTAAGCATAATTTAATGACAAATGTAAATGTATTGGAATGTTGGAGTGTTGCAACAGCACCCACTGGGAAAACATTCTGTAGAGAAAATAAACATCTGTTGGAATTAAAACTGCTGTGTTTGGTATGAACATATTTCTAACAATATCTGAAGTGTAATACAGAGTGAAATAAAACATTTAAACAAAAAAAGTAACTGTTTTCATGATATAGTATCTCTGTAATCTTTTTAACACATAGCCCTTGGCTTATAATTCATGGTGGAGCTATGGTTTCTATGAATGTGCAATGTGATATTCCCCCAGTCAGTCAGTGTGAAAGGCTGTTAAATGGACATTGGAAATAAGATTTCAGATGGGGTGGTCAGTTGTTGGAACAGGGGCATTGCCTCAGTACAACTGATCAGCATATCACAAAACATAAAATGTACTGTATATTACTATTAGTTTTAAAATAACCTTTTTGTGTTAAGAATGAGTGAAGACTGAACAGCAATGACTAACAGATGTTTGAATTTAAGCTTATTTAAGGTCTATTAAGAGTTCTACATTGATATTAAGGCTTTTCATTGCATTATGAAAAACAGTATGTAGTAGCCAACTCTGTATTAAATTGAACATTAAAAACTACAGGGCTATGATTTTACAAAGGTGAATTAAATAGACTTGTACTTGACTCTTAAGCTAAGGCTGTTGGAGTCAATAATACGTAGATGCAGACAAAACTCAAGTTATTTTGTTTTCTGTGCTCATTGACCTTATTATAAAATAAGCCCTTATGACAATGCACTCAGTTTGATCAATTGTTGTTATTTCAGCAAGACATCTTACATTTTTCTGCTGTTTTTTCTGGCTAAAGTACAGATTAATTAATGGTCAGAGCTATGCAGTTTGTTTCCACAAAACAGTCACCTTCCAGATGTAACTCATGTGCTGCCAGATCACATATGGAGGGAGCTTTGCTTAATTCCAATGTTGTGCTGCATGCATCTCTTATTGGAGAAAACTATTATTGTGTTCAAAAAGGAAATTATCTTCCTGGCACACTTTAATAAAAGGAAGCTGTCTTATTAAAGGATTAAATGTGGCACCAGTGCCAGGTATTTTTCATTTACTTCAAAGCAGCTGCTCCTTTTATTTTTGGTTGCTTGGGGGCATAACAATTTAGGGGAGTGAAGCTGTAAAAAAAGGGAAAGGAAACTATTCACATTGAGACAAGAAAAAGGATGCATAATTGGATGAATGAGACACACCTAATTCAGCATTTCTAACAATGACAAAAAAAGGATTATTTAAAAAAGCAAGTTTAAAGATCCCAAAAGCATACATGAAAAAAAAACAACAATTAAAACTGTAACAGGCTTTCCATCAATACAATACTAGTAGCCAATACTAAGAAAATAACTTTTATATAAAAAAATACAAACCATCCACTTATTCAAATATTGATTTATACAATATCTATATCTATTTGGCTTCCTTTTGTCTATTCACATAACTGTAAGCCAGAAATAAATAATAAAAACAGCATATTCAAGCCTCACATTTGTTAACACAAGTAAAGCACGTTTAGAAAAACATATTACAGATAACTCTGAAGTGAGATAATTCATTTTGCTGAACTTTTGACAACCTAAGCAGTTCCAGGGGAAACACCCCACCTCTTGGGTTCTACATACCAGGTGATCACTGGAATATGATACTAGCTCATGAGATTATGATTAGCATTTGTAACAAACTTCGGAACACGAAACAGCCAAGTATTCTCCTTTCTTTAACTACAACCTTTCACAAAAAAGCACAAAAAAATCTATAACACTCTTTTCAAAAACCTATAAACCATTTTCTTACTTTATAATTTACTTTTGTTGCAATGCTGTGGTTGTGCTTGAATAAAATGTTTTTAAAATCTGCACACAATTAACATTTCACAAATCTAACACAGAACATTAGAACAAAGCAGCAGCTCCATTATTTAAATCTCATCCTACCTCTTTTTTCCCTGTACAAGGAACAGAGCAAGCTCTCCTTCTCTTTCTGTGCAAGAAGTTACAGTTTTACCAGCATTCCAAAAACCCTATGCATGGTGAGTCCTGCTCCTTCCTAACATGTTTTTTGACTGCAAGAAACCATACCTGTATTCTTTTGTTTTTTGGGGGTGTTTTTTTCCCAAATCCAGTGGGGGTTTTTGAAGTGCAGCTCTCAAGGCCGAGGCGTAATTGCACTAAAAAAGTGTTCAGCCAAAGCAATGCAGGTGTGTGGAGCTGGAAGAGGAGGTGGGGGCAGAGAAAGGGAGGGTCCCGTTAGTCCTTTTTCAATGGATGACAATTGGTAGATAACTCCCTCTGTGCTTCTTTTCCAAAGCAATTGGAACCACAAGAAAAAAAGAGGCCAGTCTCAGTCAATGAACACAACACAGGCTGACACCCACACTACATCATATGGTAATGATACGTCTTCTACGTTAAAGCCAAGAACACTTTATCAACGTTTTCTTTCCCTCCTTGCTGGGGGAATTAATTCTTGTGCAGATCCCAGGCTGCTGTGCTTCAGAACAGACTCCATAAGCATTTTTTTTTCTCCCAGTGAGCATTTACAAAAGACTGCTCCCCCCTTAACTTTATTTTGTGTTTATTTTGGTTTAAACTATTGAATAAGAGCAGCTACATCTTTCTTCAGTAGAGAAGACAGGTTTTGGTATGGAAAGCTTTTCACAGATTGTAATTATATAACCTTAGATACTGATGCATTTCATTTGAATGTCTTCTCCTGGCTAACTTCCTACAATAATTGTTTTTTTTTTTATTCTATAAAGTTTAGATTAAGAGGAGCAATTAACATTAATATAGTAAAAGGATCCAGATTTCATTTAAAAGTCTTACTATTTCAACAGGACTAAAACATTTTTACAAGTTCTACTTAATTTATAGATTCAATCTAGTTCTTATACTTCATATAAGAAGTTGATAATAAACTAATTCAGATAATGGAAAAGAAATTACTTTAATTATAATAATACAGTAATTCTATTATACCCATTTGTGATTTGCGTTACTTGCGACTGAAACATCACAGCACATTCCCAAATGTCACTTCATTATCTGAACTTAAAAATATATCAGCCTTTCAATTTTTTTTAATTTCTAGAAAACATAAAATATAATATAATATCAGGCACCAAAAACTATCAAAGGCAATCTATAATAAAATCCAGTAATGGTAATTGCATCTGTGGGACTTACAGAATGGAAAAATTGGAACAGGACTAACTAGAACTTTGCTTCTTAAATGCACTTAAAATAATCTTACAAAACAAGGAAAAGTAGGTTAACTGAGAATATAAGTGAGTACTCTAAAGTACTGTTGTTGTCTAATAGCCTTATTACATATCAGAAGCATGAAATAATTACATGTACTGTAGGTACTTCTAGCTTCAGGCTCTCAAATTGTTGGAATAAAAAAGTCTAGATTTTAGCAGCATATCCACATTCTGGACCTAAATCCTAAAACCTAATCTATATACAAAGGAAAGGTCTAAGTTTCAGTTGAACAATTTTGTTGTTTCAAATACATTTTTAATTTTTAATGTTTCAAATATTTTTTTAATACTGATCCACATAAAAAAAATATTAATGTTTATACCTCATCTTCCTGATTGTGAATGTGCCAATTACATGTAGAATGTTAAAAACCCTTGTTCAAAAATCTTCAGATATTTTGGATTTACTTTATTCAAAATCCACAGCAAGTGTATTTCTCATTATCAATGCTTTATTTTGGGTGGCTTGGTGGTGCAGTGACTCGTGTTGCTGCTTCACAGCACTGGGGCCCTGGGTTTAATTCCTGTGGTGCTATCTGTGCAGGATATGTATGTTCTCCCCATGTTCATGTGGGTTTCCGCCCACCGTCCTAAGACATATGGGTAGGTTAAGAGGCTTCTGGGAAAATTGGTGTGAGTGTGCCCTCCAGTGAACTGGCCAGTCCAGGGTGTACCCTGCCTTGTGCCTGCTGCTTGCTGGGATAGGTTCCAGCTCCCCTGCAACACTGAATTGGAAGATTCAGTTAGGAAAGGAGTTATTTTGTATGGAGGAATGAATTGTACTTGTATATGCACTGTGGTTCGGTTAATGAGCATTGGCAGGTCTTCCATTTTCTTGTAGGGGGTGAGGGTTTCTTGTGCAGGATTTTTGTGCTTCCCCTGAGGAGGATACCTCTTAGGTTTATATTTCTAGAACAAGGGTTTCTCTCTTTATGTAACATCATGTACCAGTTTAAATTATTATTGTTGCCAGCATGTCTTTCTGTCTTCATATTGTTAAAAGATATGCATACAGGCACACACAGCTGTACTGAGTGAGGGTCCTAAGAGGACAGACAGGAGAGTGTTGTTAAAGTGGCCTCTGCTGGGATGAATTGGGTGTGCAACGGGTGAATGTAAGGAATTGAAAGCATAAATACTTAAGTTATTGAGTGTCCACCCTTGTCATTAAAGTGGTAATATGATTACCTGTGTTGTTGAATGCTGGAGCTTCTATAATCTTGTTGACTTCTGACACCAAGGACTTTATCTAGAACCTCACAGAGTGGAGGTGACTTTTCAAATCCTCTTCAGTACTACTATGCATAAGAACACATTTCAGTGCATGCCCACACACACAGTATATGGGTCTTACTAATTTTGTCAAGTCCCTGACAAAACAGAAGATCATTTTTAAAAGATATTTAATTGACATAGTATTACATAGTAAAAATTAACTTTGTTGATGATAATGCAATTTATGAAAAAAAGCCTCAAAGAACATAAATCGAACCTGATATACATTATGTATTATTATCAATTCTGTAGTTTGCTCACATCTGTTTTAAATGTGTACAGAGTGCTATGTTCTTCCAAAAGCAACTATAAACAAGTTTAACATGCATTGAGTCCTGTTTTCTTAAGGCCCACAAAAGCTGTGTCAACTTCTGTGTTTATGTCACTGTACATTGTAGAAGTTATGGACTTGATGACATTATACAGTGCATTATGTTTATTTTTCCATATTGTTACTCTGAAAGGAATCTGGATGGATTAAACTGCATTGATTTGAACAAGACATTTTACCTCTGAGGGTTACAATGCTGGTGGTCACCATAATAAAAAAGGCACGGGAAAGAAATTAAGAGGAAGTTTGGAAGAATATGAGTTTTTTCCATTGGTTAAATACAATTCTTGGTAGACCCCCCTAAAGGATAGCTAAATATATAAACAATGTTGTCTTTAATTAGGAAATTCATTACAAGAGCAGACTTGTTATAGCAGAGCACTTAGTATTTTCTCCCATTGAAAATAATTTGAAAATGAATCTTTTAAATAATACAATTTTGTCTGTTTGTGCTTTGCCCATTTTGCAAGAAAGACAATTCTTATTATCAATCTCATTTTTAATCTGCTTCATTTATTAGAAAAAAAATATTTTGACAGTTTATAAAACCATCCTAGAATGTTGTAAAAATAAATGCATCTTTTACCTCAGTCTGCTTTATTATTAAAATGATATGTCTCCTTCTATTATATAAAATTTAGTATTGTAAATCTGAGTTGCCTTGTAGGCAAAGAAAGAATAACTAAAATGAATTTTTTCGAGGCTAGTAGAGACATGTCTCTGTTAAGACATCTGACGTTACTGGATTTAAACAAAAAAATCTATAAAAAGCTTTCCAAAATACACAACTTCTGAAGAAAATTGGAAAAGAGCCATGAGCTACATTAGAGAAACCTATACTCATTCTTTCACTAAACACCATCCCAACACATCACAGTCAATGTTTAAGATGTTAAACAGCAGTCAATGTTGAAATCCATGCTCCCCAATACTTTTGTAAGTCTTTCCTACAAAAATTAAAAACCATTTCACAATAAATCTTTGAAGAAAATGAACACAGCAATAGAAGGCATTGGATAATCTTATTTGTGAGCTATGTCAACAAGAAGGACTAGCATTTAAAGTATTTGTATGAAGAATCTGTAAAGTGCTGATTAACAGCACATCCACATTCAACAGTGACCCATATTGTATCTTCACATGAAAGTCCAACATTCTTCAAAACCAAACAGTTGTAATGTTTAATAGTAAATTACTTAAAGTCATGAAATCTTTATAATGCTTATAGAACTCGTATTTTGTCTAAAGGAAGACCCACATTGTTGCTGATTTGGATTTGAGTTTTGAAACTACAGAATTTTAATTAGTGTAATAAAAGTAAAGTGTTTTGACATTGACAACCATGTGGTGCATTCTTGAACAATGAACCACCAGAGCAATAAGAGGACACAAGTGGAAGATATAAGTTAGAACATTTAGAATTGAGAACTGCGAGTGGCTTTTTTACTAAATGCTGTGAGAGTCCTGAAAGAGTAATAATGACTTAAATTTAGAGTTTAGACATGGGGATTTCAGTGGTATAGTATGTATGTTTCATTTGTGTACAAATATCTAGATTACAGTAAACCAACTTGGATTTCCTTTCAGTTCTGACTTATTCTTTTTCCAGTTAAAGTTGAATGTCACAGATTGTGAGTAACACCAGTTGGGTCTGAATTCACATTTACAATGTCACGTCAGCAACGATGGTAAATATCTTTGAGTCTAAGAACCAGACATCTCATAGACTACAGTCCATATTTTCCTTATATTACAGGTTATAGTCTTGCATAACTAATACTTATAATACTTGGAACATATTAGTACTGTAACTGGAGGTGGTAAACATTTTCCTGCAGATGATATGAGAGGGGTTTTAACACAATTGTCCTGGTTACATTTTACTCTGATCTTGTACAATCTAGCCTTCCTGAAGTTCTTAATTAATTCTTAGTTAATTTCTTATTTCTCTGCATGATGTGTTGTTTGACCCATAATAACTGTGGAGTGTCATCCAGATGGGTGCTGTGTTTCAGTGGTAGAAGCAGTTGCTCCTCTCCTATGTGTAAACCTGTGGTATCAAAGGTGCTACACAAATATGAAAAGAAACAAATTGGAAATAAAACAGAAAAATCAATTAACCATAACAAATACATGCTTCCTATTATTTTGTAGGCAAATGAAATATCCATATTACATATATATTGATTTTGTTTTACATTTTGTAGAAATTAAGTTCTTTACAGAAATTTGGGAAAAGGTCAGATACTTCTGTACTCATATACAGTACAGTATATACTTTCCTTTGTCTCTTCTGTACCCCTCATGGAAACCCATCTTCACAGTTGCTGCACCCTCCTAGCTCATTCCTCACGAAAATGAGGGCAGGGGGGTCTATTAGCGTTACTCTTACAGTTACACATTACACATTATACCAATCTATTCTTAGTATTATTAATAAAATAAATCCCAGTACAGTAAAT